AAATTTAGCAAACAGGTAATTTTTCGCCTTCACTGATGTATGTTTTTATGAGGTTGCACTGATAGGTGGCACTGGTGAGGTGGTACGAATAGGCAGCACTGATAGGTGGCACTGATGATGCTGCACTGATATGCAACAATGATGGGCACTGATGGGCGGAACTGACTGCTGGGCACTGACTGGCGGCACTGCTGGGAAGCACTGGTGGGTGGCATTGCTGGGCACTGGGCTCAGGTGGGTGGCACTGCTGGGCACAAATGGGCGGCATTGGTGGGTGACACTGCTGGACACTGATTATAAGTGCCCTGATAATTGGTGTCGATCCCTCCTCTGACAATTGCCGGTTATCTGCAGTACTTTCTTCACGCTTTTGTTAGCATAAGGAAAGTGCAGCCGATAACCGGCAACTGCATTTACTGGTGATCTGCTGTGTCCATAGGACACAACGATCACGGAGATTGCCGGGGGCGCGTTTTGGGAGGACGTCATGACACCCTCCCAGGACTGGACAATCACGCTGTAGCCATCATTCAGCTATAGTACGGTTGGCAAGTGGTTTAAAGGGGGACTCTATCTAGAATTGGTTCATTGAATAGCTCACATGTTTAGCTCTTACAAAGTGTGTTGTCATTGCTGGACCTGCAGCATCAGGATTTTAAGTCTTTCTTTCTTTTCCCTTTTCATGCCTGGGGTCAAATGTTCTCTGAAAAATTATTTGACGCACTGTGTGTTTCATTGTGTTTACCATTGCAAGTGTATTTGTGTTTCACTTTGAGAGTAGAAAACAGGTGACTACCTTGAAGTATTTGCATTAACTGTTGAACCTTTTAGTAAATTGCTTTGCTGCATTTGGGTGTCTTTGCAATCATGATTCCTTGTGCATTATGTCTGAACCCAGAGTGTCAGAGGTGTCGAAATGCTTACAAGGTCAGGGCAACCTTTGGGGACAGTCATCTCATAGCAGCCCTAAAAATACAATTGTATTTGCGGCGTCTCTGAGAAACGAAACTGCTTAGAAATCCTGCCCATAGACCTGCAATAAACACTGGTACCATTTAGCATGCATATAGGAGAAACAGATCTGTACACATGTAAATGCAAGTACCAGCAGTTAAACACATTACAGGCGTACCTCTGTTTACGACCGCCTCCGTTAACGTAATTTTCGGTTTACAAATGAAAATTAATTGAAAAAATGTCTCCGGTTTGCAAATTTTTTTCTTTCGCAATACAAATGAATTAATTGGTTTTCAATGCATATACGATTTCCCCCCCCCCCCCCCCCCCCCCCCCCCCCCCCCCCCCCCCCCCCCCCCCCCCCCCCCCCCCCCCCCCCCCCACCCCCCCCTGTACAGTACTATGCCTTTTTAAAGAGTTTTAAAACAGATAAAAAATACTTTTTTCTGACCTTCCGAAACGGATTAATTGGTTTTCAATGCATTCCTATGGGAAACCCGCATTCCAGTTTATGAATTTTTTTTGCAATACGAAAAGTCCCACAGAAGGCATTAAATTCATAAACTGAGGTACGCCTGTATAGCGCATTCTGTAATGCATGTCTATGAGGCGAATTAAACTGCAGCTTCAGCTCCTGGGCACTACAAATACCCCAGAGGCCCCTATATGCAAGAGTCCCATGTGCAACAGCCCTAAATTGCATCAACCTTCTTGTTCTTTATCTATAGCAGTCTATTCATATTTCTATACCCTTCTATTTACATTTGCAAGAAAATGTATGTAAACCATTTAGGCCCATTTCACACGGGCGGTTAGAGGAACTTATATACTGCAGCTAAATGCAGACAATGCATCCCTATGACTCCCTTCACACACTGCGTTTAGCATCGTTTTCATAACATGCCTTTAGGACAAATAAAGCTGATAGCTGCGGTACATTGCTCCTGGGCGCTATCTGTACATAAACGCAGTTAATCGCAGTACAAAGATAAAATAAGTAAACAGTTGCTTAGAAAAGGCAAGAATTTATTACCGCAGCTAAACACACAGCCGCATGTAAACACAATGTACAAACGCAAGTGATCTCTGTGCCAGGAGTGTTTGGAATTTTAAAATAAAAAAAATGCATTTACAAACGGCAGAACCGCCCGTGTGAAAGAGACCTTAAAGTCTTGAATAGTTTTAAAAAATGTGATCTGATCTTCAGCTAAGTTGTTTTACTCAAAAGCTTTACATAAACTTACAATTTTATATTACCTTGTCTATACTAATCAATTCAATACCAGGCGCTTTTACCTCCTTCCTTCCCAGGCCAACTTTCAGCTTTCAGCGGTATCGCACTTTGACAATTGTGTGGTCATGCAACACTGTACACAAATGAATTTTGTTTATGAATTTTTTTTTTTCACGCAAATAGCTTTCTTTTGGTGGTATTTAACCACTTGATCTCCAGAGGATTTACCCCCCTCTTCCTGACCAGGCCGTTTTTTGCGTTTATGGTGCTGCGTTACTTTAACTGACAATTGCGCGGTCATGGAAAGGGTGCACCCAAATAAAAATTTTTTTTTTTTTTTTTTTTTTTATTACAAGTTGATTGCTTATACCAGTGAACTTCACTGTTATAAGCAAACCTTTTTATTAAATGAAATTTCATTCATTCAGTGTTTATTATGGTCAGCTCTGACTGGCCACAGCTAATCACAAGGTAAAGAAGGACTTTGATTGGCCCTGTCTGTACCATGTAACTGTGATCAATCAGAGATCAGCACAATAGTATTCAATGGATGGCATGAGTGAATGCCATCCATTGTGTACAATTGTGCTGTGATTGGTCATAGCGATCACATGGTTCCGACAGCGGCCAGTACGCTGATTGTGTCCGATGAACACAACAGGTGACAGATCGAGCCGCAGTGTGGTCTGTGGGGCACGTGCAAGGAGGACATCATATGATGTCCACCTGGAACGGTGAATGTCCCACCTGGCTGTCATTTGAGTATAGGCTGGGTAGGAACTGGTTGAACAAATGGTTTAAACGGTCAAGGATCCCAATGAAGAGAGTGAATAAACCTATTGGGTTTTCAAAACTGAGGAAATGGGCATCGTAGCCCCCTGATGAGATAAACTTAGAGCAGGGGTGTCAAACTGGCGGCCCTCCAGCTGTTGCAAAACTACAAAGGGCCGACAGTTTGACACCTATGGCTTAGAGGTATGGTTTAGAGGGGTCCACCACTGTAGAAAAGCTGTACAAAGGTTGGCTTCTGACAACACTCTCCTTTAAGAAAGATCTGTACATGTAAACCAGGGGTCCCTGTAATTCCCAGCTAATTGATCAATGTGTAAATTATTAGAGATTTTCTGGAAATTTATTTATTTTCAGCAGTAAACTTCTCCTAAAGGCATTCTAAAACTTCCTACCTGCACCTTAGGTTTTTACCTGCATAAGATGTGCATTGATGGTGGAGTTCCACTCTCGCTGTCAAATAAGTCAGCAGCTACAAAAACTGTAGCTGCTGACTTTTAAAAAAAAAAAAAACACACACACCTGTCCCGCGGTGTGTCCCCTGCAGCCCATTTTTTTTTAGCGGCCGTCTTCTCTCCCTGGGCACCGGCATCTTCACTGTGGGCACCCGGCTGTGACAGCTTGTGGCTTCACAGCCGGGTACCCACTGCGTGAGTAGCGCTGCGCTTCCTGAATGGTCCTGTAGTCTTCTGGGACCTTTCACGTGTGCTAAAAGACTACGGGGAGGGAGAAAGGGAGGACACCTTCCACTTCCGATCGCCTTGACAGGTACCCGCTGCCTAAAGGTGCCAATCCTTAATAGGGAGCGGGGGACTAGTCTTCAAAGTGGAACTTCCCCTTTTGGGTGGAGCTCTGCTTTAACTATTGGTGGTGTGAAAACAGATCTACAATCTACAAAACATTTCACACACAAAGTTCAGCCAAATATGAATTCTGTCAATACCATGTGTTTATGCGGCATTTATTCTGCTTTTTTTTTTTTTTTTGAAGCCTCATAAATGCCCTTCAACGCTTTCCATGAATATTACAATGATACCACACAGTGATGTTCACACAGTAGCGGTTTTGTTGTGTTAAAAATTAAGTAACATGTTGCATTCATGAGGCATCGATGCATGCTAGTGGACTCTATTGGTTTCAGTAGTAATGCTCTATAACCACACCTAGAGCATTTACGATGTGCTAGTGAAGCATTTATAAAGAGTTAGCTGGGCATTGTGGGAGAGGCAGTGGAGTATCCCAGAATGCAGTGGCAAATAATAGAGAACTAGGACAGAGCAGCTCCAGCCACTAATGTTTGTACATAGAGCCGTGTGGTAATAACATTCACTTCTGTGTGCAGGCAAAAGCAATAAGCCAGCAGTACTTCCAGTGCCAGGCAGAGGTATTGAGCATTGTCAGTGGCAAAGCTTTGTTTCAGCAAAGCTGAGCTGGACCAAGGCAAGTATCAAACGTATACGAATCCATCTTGCAGATACTACACAAAAATGTCTATCACACCACAACCTAACCATACCTACAAAGTAGATGATTTCCTCTACATCACTTTCCCTTTAGTAAATTTCCACTGGAAAAGCAACGCTTCTGGGTAATTATCAAGCATTCTTGAAGCTTTTTCAGTGCTTCCTAAACACAATGAAAACTCATCATAAATATTTGTTGACGAGCATTGCTACATTCTTCATAAATATACGTGTGGATGAGCCCTTACTTGGGAGAATACCAACAAAAGAAGTGAGAAGACTTGGTGCCCTCACTAGAAGACCTGAGTTAATTCCTCTGGATGCCAGGATCTAACTGTTACCCTGACATAAAGCTATATAATGTTCTGTTCAGGTGCACATACCTTACATAACTGGTTTATTTTACATTTTCTTTCTTTTTAGTTTTTTTTTTTTCCACATAATTTACTTAGGAAATTTTAAGGTGATCCTTTTACAGCTTGTGGTTTTTTGTGTTTTTTATTTATTTATTTATTTTTTAATGTGTATATACTTTTTTTTTTTTTTACTCTTTTGTAGGTGTATGTTTTGCCGTCAGGAAGCTTGCAGTTGGTTTGAAACCTGATGTCAAAATCAGTAATAACGAGAATGGGTGGAATATAAGAACAGAGAGTACCTTTAAAAATACAGATTTGTGCTTTGTACTAAATGAGTTGTTTGAAGAAACCACAGCAGATGGCAGGACATGCAAGGTGAACATATTAACAGTATATTTTGTGCATGGTGTGTAAATGAAGACTGAAATATTATACCACAGTATACAAAAGTGTATTGGTACGTCCCACTATACTATCAATAAAATTGTCATGACCCTTGGAGGGACATCTGTGACAATTTTTATTTTATTTTTTGCATATTTTTTTTACTTTCTTTTACAATGAATTTTTATTATAAACAGCACAACAATGTAGGAACAGTCAGACACGCTCACTGACACAAAAAAATTAAGGTGTACAGTTCTGTTGATGGACATAACAAATGCACTGAAATATTGACACAGAGAGAAACAGAACATAAAAAACACATCCTCAAAAGGGATGGCATGAGACCCTATAAAATTGTTAACCGCAAATGGTAATCAACGAGCTGGTGGGCAAAGACCAAGGATAGTCGCCAAAGTCGCATACAGATGATTGGAAAAGGTGAGCATAAAATCTCACAGGACGCATATCGGAATTCTACACCCAGGACTTCCAAGAAAGTCCAACCGGTATATATAAGACATTACAGGCACAGTTCTCTAGGGGTAGCTCAATCAATGCATAGAACATAAAGACTGACAGAAACAAAAAAAAAAAAAAAAAAACAAAGTGAAAAGAGAGAAGCAGAGAGACGAAACAAGAATAGTAAAGACAAAGAAAGGGCTCCAGAGGATTGCACCAGGAGAGACCATTTTTATTTAAATGAAAACTTAGACATTACGTTCCAAGGCATTTCCCCATTAATTTTATATCCTTTATGATTTGATCTATGGGGCCTGTCACTGAAGTAGCTAACAACTTGCATGCCCTGATGCTAGATCTTCCCCCTACTTAGCTGTGACTTCTCCATAGCACATTAAGTTCAGCTGACCTTTATGATCTGCACATGAAAAGTTCAGTACTCCTATGGAAAGGGAGGTTTGACCAGGAGGAGAGTTAAATGATGACCTACCAACTCCAGATCATTACTGGGATTAACATGTTTTCACTTTTATATGCAAAACTCTGGTTTTGTTTGAAAGGAAGAAGTTCTAATCGCCGTACTCTGGAAGAAAGCGATGGTCATACAAGTAAAAGCAGCACAGCCCACCTCTGTCTAGGCCACGACCTCTGATGCATTTTCACCCTACCCCAGGGCTTGGTCATGAATTTGGTTCTTCTGGAGTGCAGCGATCGGAACTAACTTATTTCCTGCTTTTGAAAGTTTCCCAAGTGATAGTAAAATGTTTACAATAGAGAAAATAAGTATATGGTGATTAAATAATTTCTAAATGTCTGACATCTTCCACTAAAACTGCTCCTGTTTTGACGTTGGTCACTGCAGAGAGCACAAGCATCTATCAGCAGATAATGGGCAATACACTTATGCTCATTGAATGGACTTTGCTGAACTCACGGAACAGGAGCTTTGTTAATTATTAAACTTTTAAACCCTTTTTGTTTTTCTGTTTACTTCTTACTCTTTTTGTAATACCCTTTTTCCTGCAAATCTGTTTTTTGTATTGTTGTACCTGCTTACTTATTAAACAAACAATATTTTTTAAATTTGTAAAGTTATTTCTGTTGCACCAACTCCGAACTTAAAGGATAAGTTTGCCATTTGTTACATGTAATACCCATATTCAGGGTGTAACATGTTACAATTGTACTGGCCCCCGCTTCCCCTTGACCCGCTGATGTGGCCGCTAGCGTGGATCTTCTCCCCCTCCCCGCTAGCTGTCACAATATTTAAAAAATGTAGCTATGCGGGGCTCCGACCACATCATCCATTCAGTGTTCTGTGAATGGAAAGACTACAAGTCCCGACAGCCTTTGCAGCTGCCTGCTTGTAGTTCTCAATGAACTACCATGTACGCTGTGGTAGTTCATTGATTCTTCCTGTCTGTGTAGAATTACAGTGTACGAGCAGACTGATTACACTGACAGATCTGCAAGGCACCAGCAATCTGACTGCTGGTGCAATGCTTTCCAGGCTCCTAAAGCAAAAAATAGTAAATGCACATTTTCTTACCTGAAGAAGAAAAAATTTGCATTTTTTATTTTTTGCTAAAAGGTGAACTTATCCTTTTTAACCACTTGCCCTCCTGAGGATTTACCCCCCCCCCCCCTTCCTGACCAGGCCATTTTTTGTGTTATGGCGCTGCGTTACTTTAACTGACAATTGCACAGTCATGCAATATATAATATTCCCCCCCCCCCCCACGAATTGAGCTTTCTTTTGGTGGTATTTTTGTGCTACACAGAGAAGACAATTTTGAGGAAAAAAAACATATATTTGACTTTCTGCTATTAAACATGTCCTGTAAAATTAAAAAAATCAATTTTAGGGCAAAGTGTATTCTGCTACATGTCTTTGCTAAAAAAAAAAAAAAAAAAAATACCAGTACATGTAAATTGGTTTACAGAGGGTTTTTTTTTTTTTTTTTTTTATAGCATTTACTAATAGCGGTATATAAACTGGAATTTTTATTTTTACTATTTAATATCAGCGACTTATAGCAGGACTGCAGCAGGCATTCTGATACTGAGGGGAATTGACTTGGTGTCACTGACATCCCCAGTGACACCAATACAGTGATCAGTGCTAAAAAAACAAACAAAAAAAAACAAAACACTGACACTGTACTAAAGGCACTTGGCAGGAAGGGGTTAACATGAGGGGCAATCAAAGGGTTAACTGTGTTGGGTGTTTTTTACTATGGGGCTGTGTGTTTGTGCTTCACTGTAAACACACTGCATGGCTGTCACAGCACAGCCATACACAGCAAAGTAGTGTGCACAAGCTGACAGGGAGACCGGTTTTGCTTACAAACAGTTCTCCTCCCTGCTGGAGATCCTCGGAAATCACCAGGAGCTGGCAAGTAATCACCGTCTGGGACCCAATGATTAACAGCCGTTGCTGCGATTGCTGGTGTGGGTTGGGTGCACCCCTTACTCAGAAATGCAAAATCACCTATATGTGATTATTGCACACCCGTGCCGCCCTGTAGCAGTATTTCTGCTATAGGGCGGACGGGAAGCGGTTAAAGAATCCCTTTTCTCTTTGAGGAGTGCTACTGTACCATCTCTGATTCCTGTCTGTGTTGACAGTGTGTGTAGTGTAGACATTTTATTAAAAGGCATTATTGTTTTTGTGAACCTTGATATTTACAAAATATATCTGGTGTCAAAATAAAGAGTTGCCTACATAGTTGACAAAACCCATTGATGATCGCTTTCAGTCTGCTGCCACTTAGGGTGTGGTCCTATGAGCTGAAAAATCTTTGAAGGGCAAGGCTGAGAGTGCCATTGTCCTGTATCAGAGACAGTGGGCTGTGAGATTGAGCAGCCATGTGTCACAAGTTAGTGAAGGTGGCCGGGGTCTGATGCTCTCTGTCACAGAGGTCTTATCTGCTGTTTCTTAAATACCTTTTATTGTATGTTACAGACTATCTGTACACTAGAAGATGGAAAATTAATACAACACCAGAAGTGGGATGACAAGGGGGTAGAAAGGGAATCCACAATAACACGAGAAGTACAAAACGATCAAATGATAACGGTAAGTAAGCACTGTGGGGGGGGGGGGGGAGAGCGAGAATCCCCAAAGCAGTCCAAACTGGAAAACCAAGAGTATATTCATGCATATTTCCATTATTTTCAGGGTTTGATTCACAAGGTATAAACATTTTACTTTTGAATAAACTTTTTTTTTTCCTGTGTAAAACCGTTTTACTGGCATGCAGCATTCTATAACTAAACGTGGAGGAATCCATTCAGAGAATGCTGATCTGTCTTACACATCAGTTTGTCCATGTCGCTTGCTGTACACTTCAGTCTTCCTCCTTCCCAAATCCCTGCATATCATTGTTACAGACCAGGGGCGGAATGACCATTTGAGCACTCTGGCACTGCCCAGGGGCCCCATGAAATGTCTCTGGTACTTTTTTTTTTTTTTTTAGGCTTTTTTTGAGTGTGGGCAAGTACACAGGGGCCCCTATTGCCTGGGGGCCCCATGAGTTGTCAGTCTGCCCCTGTTACAGACTGACAGAAATTGAACTGAACTACTGACAAGGGGCTAGATGACTTTGCAAGCTTGCATTTACCAGGCACTTGTGAGATTTCTTCTTTTCTTTCTTCTCCTTACCATTCTAATAAAGACAATCTGTGAATGACAAATGTGTAGATGGCCACTGTAGACCAAAATGCATGTGAACATTAAATTACATAGTTGAGGATTTGTAACCCTTGTCCACAACTATGCACCCAGCGAGACTTTTTTATTTCTTGAAATGTAGTGAAATAAATTAAAATGGCCTGGTGATTCTGCTAGTTCCATTCAAACTGTTTCCTTCTGTCCATGCTAGGCATGGATGCAGTTCCATTCTAGCATGGTCTGCTTTCATCTGTGCTTTGGGGATGGGAGCTACAGAACACCAAGCAGTGTACGTGTACTCCTGTGGTCAGACTGAGGCTGATACGCTCCCCCACCCCAGTCCACACTTCTGTTTTGGGAGCTACCGGATGGCTTAGATCTCTGAAGAAAATTCGCCTGCCCAGCTCCCCGGTCTGTTTGGGAGCTACAGGAATGGTCCGATCTCTCCAGACATGCCTCCCACCCAGCCCTGCACAATTGCATACCAGCTGTCACTAGGTATCTCCTCTCCTGGTGTCAGGGCAGGAGCCGAGGAACGGACAGGCAGGCCTAACAATGTAACGCACTGGCTGATGACAACCACCACCCACAGACCGAAGTCCCTCAGGGCGCGGAGTCTAAGTCCCAAGCTGCCCTTCACCAGGGCCCCTGATGGTGGGGATGGACTTGACGCAGCCAGGAACCAGGTCGCGGCCCCCGAGACACCTCAGCTGCGGTAATGGCCGCCGCCAATGGCATGTAGCTGGTGGAAGAAACAAAAGAGTAGTCAGACAAGCCGGGGTCAACAACAGGACAAAACAGTACAGGACAGCAGACGAGAATCACAGGTCACAAGCCGGGTTCAGCAACAGAGGGTCAGATCAAAGGAGAATACAAAGAATAGTCAAGTCACAAGCCGAATCAGAATACCTGGAGAGTCACAAGAGTCAGAACAGAGTAATAGTAACGCACAAGTGCAAAGAGCATGTGCGGGCCACAGGCTTATGTCATCAGCCACGCCCCTCTGGGGGGTGGACCTCAGAGACCTGAAGGCATAAAAAGGATTCCCATCATGCACAGCAGAATCCAAGATGGACGCCAGCACATGGAGTAACATAACCTCAGGGAAAAGGTAGAACCTTGACACCTGGCCCATGGAACCCAGGAATCCGAGCCTGCATAGTGGTTATGTGATTGCTTGTAAATGTGTGCAATAAAAGATACAGTATTTCTGAGACTGTTTTCCCTAGAACAGTGGTCTCCAAACTATGGCCCGGGGGCCGAATGCAGCCCTTTGCTTGCCCTTATCTAGCCCTTGGGGCACTTTTTTTTCTCCCACTGATACAAGACACTATTGTTCCCACTGACACCAAGAAGGCGGCATAATTCCTGCTGCTGACATCAACAGTCACTATTCCTCTCACTGAAACAAACCATGGGGCACTATTCCTCCCAATGACACAAACGATGGGGCACGATTTCTCCAACTTGCAGCAAGAATAGGGCACTATTCCTCACGTAATGCCAAGGATGCATTGTTTACTCCCAATGACGCAGGACAATTTCTACTCCCAATGGCCACAGTCCAGCCTCCCTAAAGTCTGAAAGCCAGTAAACTGGCCCTTTTTTGTTTAGAAAGTTTGTAGACCCCTATCCTAGAATATAATTATTACTATTAACATGCTTTTGGGATAGGCAGGGTTCACATTCACTTTGTCTAAATTTTATGTCAGTACTGTCTGTAGGACACTTTCAGTGAAGACATATCTGTGGCCCTACTAGCCCAGAATTATTTTCAGTTGTGAATACCTAGGATCCTACCCTAGGATATAGAGGTATAGACTCCAGAGAGATATATCATATTACCCCGGTACAAATCATTGGTAATACCTCCTCTGGAATATGCAGTTATACTCCTGATGCGGTAAGGTACCGCTTAGTGAATTGTCCCTGTTCGAGGTTGAACTTTCTTTAGGTTCAAATGTATGACCGCAAACCGAACAGGGGGGTGTCCGGCTTATCACTAGTACGGAGCTCTAGGAGTCACTGCACATGCTCAGTTTAGTGTGTATTGCTAGTTTGTGGTGGTGTTTTTTTTTTTTTTTTTTTTTTTTTTTTTTTCCTTTTGGGAGGGTGCATGTGATCAGCACAGGGCCAATCGGCACTGTCCAGACAGAGGGGAAGGGGTTATGCAGCCTTGTAGCACAATCGTAGCTGAATGAAAACTCCTCCTACAAGATTAACGTGCTCTGCTGGACACTTATAGAAGTTACAAGACTGCTATATACTGCTGATGAGAAAGTATTAAGCAGTTTATATTCACTAAAATAATTGCATTTCCATGTTCTTTGTACTGTGATAGACCAGATATATTGAATGCAGGGTCCTGGGTTTAGTAACACTTTAAGTCTATAATTTTATTTTACACTGCACTAATATTTATGATGTATTTTATGTATATTTTTTTTTTTTTTCTTGTAGATATGCAGATTTGGTGATATAAAGTGCTGTCGGGTCTATGAAAGAAAATGAAGTTTCAGTCTTTATAGACATTTAATATGCTGTGTAATATATGTTTAGTTCAATGAGCAGCCTCTTAAGTGATACATGCTATTAAACACCTTTTTGTAATATCTATGGAAATAAAACAAATTTGTGGAAATCCTCAACATTTTTCCTTTTTTCTCTTTTTAACATGACTAGTTTAAACTAAACTAGTTTGTGGTCTTGCAAACACAGAGCGGGCTCCTTGTGTACACAGTTCCAACAGTCCAGGTACTGTATATATGCATAATATTGTACACAGCTCAAAAAAATTAAAGGAACACTTTGAGAACACATCAGATCTCAATGGGGAAAATATTATGCTGGATATCTATACTGGGCAATGTGTTAGGGACGTAAGGATGCCCCATCATTTGAAGGAAATGAAAATTTATCAACCTACGGAGGACTGAATTCAAAGACACCCCAAAAATCAAAGTGAAAAAATTATGCAGCAGGCTAGTTCATTTTGCTGAAATTTTCATTGCAGCAACTCAAAATGCTACTTGAGTTTGTATGGCCCCCACGTGCTTGTATGCTTGCCTGACAACGTCGGGGCATGCTCCTAATGAGACCATGGATGGTGTCCTGGGGTATTTCCTCCCAGATCTGGACCAGGGCATCCCTGAGCTCCTGGACAGTCTGAGGTGCAACTTGGCAGCGTCTGATAGACCTAAACATGATATGCCAGAGGTGTTCTATTGCATTAAGGTCAAGCGAGTGTGGGGGCCATTCAGTGGTATTAATTCCTTCATCCTCCAGGAACTGCCTGCATACTCTTGCCACATGAAGCCGGGCATTGTCGTGTACCAGGACCCACTGCACCAGCATAGGGTCTGACAATGGGTCCAAGGATTACACCCTGATACCTAATGGTGCCATTGTCTAGCCCAGGGGTGGCGAACACGCGGCTCTCGAGCCGCGTGCAGCTCCCGGCCAAAATGAATGAATGCGGCTCTTTGCCTCATCATATTTTGTATACTGTGGCTCTTTGCCAAGTTTCAGCGGCGCGCTGTCTTCCGGCTTCTGTAGTGTGGGCACTGGGCATGACAGCCGGGTGCCAAGTGCGCATGCGCAAGAAGCGGTGCTTTTTGTGAATGGTAAGGCAGTACCTAGGACACATGACAGATCCCAGAAGCCGCCGGACCAATCACAAAGCGCAAGTGCTTCTCGCTCATGCGCACTGGGCACCCGGCTGTCATGCCGAGCGCCATTACAGAAGCCGGGAAGACAGCGCGTGGCTGGATCGAGGAACAGGTAAGATCAAACAAAAACTCTGTGGAAGTAAGAGCGGGTACCTGTCAAATTCAGGTACCCGCTCCCCACCACCCCAAAGGTCAGCAGTCATCTGTACTGTTGTCAGTCTCTGGTCATCCCTGTGCTGTCCGCAGTCTCTGGTCATCCCTGTGCTGTCCGCAGTCTCATTTGATGTGTGTGTTGAGGGTGGACACTTACCTTGAAATGAACACATTGTTGTTTTGTAAGGGGAAGAAAGTGTTATGGTGAATAATATGGTTTTAATTATGTCTTTTTGTGTGAGTGTTTGTCTGTTTAGGCAGGTCACTGCGTGGTGTGGCTCTCTGACTTTCACAGTTTAAAATTTTGGCTCTTTGTGTCTAACTTGTTCGCCACCCCTGGTCTAGCCTGTAGAGGTCTGTATGTCCCTCCATGACTATGCCTCCCCAGACCATCACTGACCCACCACCAAAATGGTCATGCTGAACGATGTTACAGGCAGCATAACCCTTTTCCAGACCCTTTGATGGCTGTCACATGTACTCAGGGTGAATCTGCTCTCATCTGTGAAAAGCGCAGGGTGCCAGTGGTGGACCTGCCAATTCTGGTGTTCAATGGCAAATACCAACCGAGCACTATGGTACCGG